CAGTTTTCATCAACCTTCCCAATGACATGTTCTCATCAACTGTCCACTTTCCACTCTGCTGCAGTTGGGAGAAATGAGTCATTTTACATCACACTCTCAGTGCAGGTGAGCACAAACTTCCAATGTTATTAAAACATTTAAGTGTGGTGTCAGTGCATGGAATATGCTCCTGTCACTAGACACAATGAGGACAGAGTGCACAACCTCTGTCGCCATCTCAGATCTCTTCTTGACTTCAAATACACACTTCAACTTCCTATTTGGCCACTAGAAGGCACCCGGACACCTCCACCCAGCCCTCTGGTGCTTCCCTCAGCACAGACACTTCTCAGAACAGGAGCCACAACCTGAGTGACAATCACCCTCATCACTGCTCTTCAGGTCACCTGGCTTCTCAATAGCATCTCATTTCCTCCACAGTCCCTCTGTCACTGATGGATCTCAGGTGCCAATGACTCCTCCTGGAGTAACAATGACAACTTCACTTCCCAACCTCTGGTAGGACGGGTCTTCACTCATCCCTACCGAAGATGAAAACTCTTTATAACATTGTGCACCCACAGCCTCATGACCAGTTCTGGGCCCAGGAACTTGAACACATAAGGCAGAAACCCTAGCCTCATGGAATTTTTATTTTAATGTCACGGGCAGGCACTAAAATTGCAAATACCATTTTTACACTGCTGCTTTGACACCATGACATAGAGCACTGACCTCCCTCAGTGCAAGTGGGGCACTGAGTGTCCAGGTCCTGACCTCCAGCATGGAGAGACTCAGAGGAAGAGAGGAAAATCCAGTGCAGTTGAACTCCTGTGCTTCCTGGGAAACAAAGTCACATGCAGCATCATTAATGGGCCTTTGTCCCTTGATCCATCTGTTTATGAAGGACATTGTGTTTCACTCCATCCTGCTTCTGCTTCATGAGTCCAAACAACACACAGGCCAGTGCCCAAAATCAGTGCTATGTCACCATCTAGGAGGACAAACTGGACCCACTTTAAGCAGAGCACCTTTTACTATGTGTAATAGTTATTTTTGGTGGAGATCACTCTGTTCTTCCTTAATCTTTCCTCTTTATTTTTTTCTTAAAACATGAGATTTTTCCAGACAAAGGGGGGGAGTGAATCATTTTTATTGTGTCTCCTGATCTGTACTCAGAACTCCTTAAACTCTAATCTTCTCCTTGTGGGTTCTTCAAATCAGAGTCTCAGTTAGAGGTGAGAGCAAACATGTACTCTCTTGTTCCAAGTCACTGAATTCCCCTTCCAAAGCTCTCAATTTATGTTTGGCAGAATTATAGGTCTGGGGAACATTCACTCTAATCTTATTCCAAAGATGCAATGGGGAGCAGAAGTTTCACCTGTCAGAGAGGCCATCTCTGGGCTGGTCCCATGGCCAGATGGATCAGGGATCGGGCAGGTTGGCCTGCATAAGCTATCCTCCTGGGAACTAGCTGTGGTCACATGAGAAGGGCCTTCATTCCTTCTGAATGCAGTGCCCCCACTGATCTAGGGACCTTCCAGTAGGTCCAGATTCTAAAAGTTCTACCACCTCCTCATATCACCAGTTTGGGGCCAAGACTCCAGCTCCATCCCTTGGGAACAGACAATAGCAGATGGCAATAAAAACTGGTCAGGGTTATTGCAAACTGATAAGAAAAAACATTCTCTCTTTCAAGAATAGATGTTTCATCTTTGAAAATTTTTGAGGATAATTCAAACTTACAGACATTTATGAACAACACAAAGTTCTACTTTCTCACTGAAACCACTGAGAGTTAGCTTAGACCTCATGGCCCACCACATTTTACTATGTGCCTCCTCCCGATGAGGTCCTCCTACACAAGGCCAACACCACAAAGAATTTAGAGAACAGCCTTAGCACATTGTGCATCCAGTTATCAAGTCCACCTCAAATCCCTTCACTGTCCCCATCTATCTTTGGTCAGGACATGCTGCTGTCCCAGTTCACATGCACTCCTCAGTGGCAGGTCTCCAGACTCTTTCAGTCAGGAACAGTTGCAGTGTTCCCCTGAACATCAAGACCTTGTCACTTTTGAAGAGGACACACCAATTGCCTTATAGAACATGTACCCTGTAGGAGTTCCTGTCCTGTCCCCTCTTGATTACATTTCACTAATCAGTCTATGGTAGTGTACCAGTTTGGTCCCCAAACTGGTGATATGAGGAGGTGGTAGAACTTTTAGAATCTGGACCTACTGGAAGGTCCTTAGATCCGTTGGGACACTGCACTCAGAAGGAATGAAGGCCCTTCTCATGTGACCACAGCTAGTTCCCAGGAGAATGGCTTATGCAGGCCAACCTGCCCACTCCCTGACCCATCTGGCCATGGGACCAGCACAGAGATGCTGTGCTGATATGAAAAAGGACCACTAACTGGGGGTTTGAACAGCAAAAATGTATTGTCTAGCAGTCATGGGATCCACATGTAGAGAGGAAGGCACTAGCAGGCTGTTCTTCTAGGAGGCCTCTCTGAGTTCCAGGGTCCTTCTGTGTGTCACATGGTCTTCCCAAGGTGTATCTGAGTTCTAAATTCCTCTTTCTATGAGGCCTCCAGGCACATTTAATTAAACCAGACAGAAGACCTCCCCTTACATAATTACCCTTTCAAGCACCCTGTCTCCAAACTGTCATGCTCTGTTTCACTGGGGTCACAACCCCAACATTTCAGCCTATACTACTCAGGAATGTCCAGAGGCAAAGCTGTGAACCCGATTCGGGTGGTGTCACCTGAATTCTCTGATGCACATTGACCTTTCTCCTTCACAATTAGAAGGGATTTGTGGACAATATCCTTGATACTTCATGAATATCCCTTTCTTCATTAAGATAGAAGTATCAATTCATAGATTTGTATTTTATTCAGTGGTTTATAACATATATTCTTCATTGATTCTTTTGATGCTCAAATATTTCCAGTGTAGCTAGTTGGAGTCCCATTGAAATTGGTTTCTCTTTTGATAGGCTATGACCACCTTGTTCCTTTAGTTTTCCCAGATGGATACGCTCCATGTCCGTTTCCTATTGTAGATTCTGTAATAGGCATTTCTTCAATGATTGATGGTTCTTTTTATAAAAGAATAATTGTATTTAGAAACCATCGGTGTTTTTGAGACTAAAGGACTATTTATTCTAGATTAGGGAAATTATTTATTTATACCTGTATTAACAGACAGAGAAATATATATTTAATTCTGCAAGTTGTTCATGTCTTACTCTACCAGAGTTGTGAGTATACAGTGATATCTTTGATTTTGGTCTAAAATCATAGGTTTTATTCAATTAGTCTCATTTCAAGTAAGTAACTCCTTTCTGTAACAAGCAGTTATAGTAAATGAATTGGCATTTTAATCAATTACCTGTCTTATCACCTTTTTTGCTGCTGTGAACAAAGGATCTGACCAGAACAAGTTTATAGGAGGAAGATTTTTCCTAAGGGCTCATGGTTTCATAGATCTCAAATAGCCACATTCCTTGGGACTTGAGGAGAGGCAGAACAACTTGGTAGGAGAGTGTGACAAAGGGAAGCAGCTCACATGATGATCACCAAGGGGTGGGGGGGGAAAGAGAGAGAGAGAGAGAGAGAGAGAGAGAGAGAGAGAGAGAGAGAGAGACTCCACTTGCCAGATATAAAATACATACCCTAACAGCATGCCCTCAATGACCCACCTCCTCCAGCCACCCCCTACCAGCCTACAGTTACCATACAGTTAATCCCAACAGAGGATTATTTCACTGGTTGGCTTAAGAGCCTCACAACATAAACATTTGTCCTCTAAACCTTCTCGCATTGTCTCACACATGAGCTTTTGTTAAACACCTCACATTCAAATCATCGCCATCCCCCTGTTCAAACGCAGTCTCCAGCTATCATCTTCACCTAACCCTTCTCGCACCCACTCTCTCTAACATACCCACAACCTGCTCCACTCTGACACCCCTCTTTGGCCACCATCAAAACTGTCTCCCTGCATGGGTGTCTTTCTCATCATGCCTGGCTGTCTCCTACACAGGGGACTCCTATCGCTCCAAGTGTCCTCCTTGTCTCAACCCTCTTGGACACCCACACCTGGACAACACTACCACTCCTCCATGTGGGGACACCCTCAGGACCCCACTGAGACTGCAAGTCCTCATGCAGGGCTTCACATACCCACATGCTTCCCTTGCACCCTGCCTGGTCCCCATTGTTCTAAACCAGGCACTGAGAACAGAGTTCTCTTAGGAGCTGACTGACATTTGGAGATGTGGAATATGCAGTTTAGGGAGCACAGTAGAATATCAGTGGCACTTGGTGGACATAGGATCTATACTTCTAATCACAATGACTTGGGTTGCCAGAGGACAGAGAATAGGAGCAATGCTCTGAGCAGACAGGGAACACAAGTCATGCACATATATCATCTTGAGCTGAGCTAGAGATGAAGCCCATGCTCCTCAGATGGGAGGGAAGATATTCCCTGGCTTTAGGTGGAAGTAGTTGGGCAGAACATTCATAAATGGAGGAAGGCAACTTTCTTAGCTGTAGTCATGAGATTGAATAAAAGCAAATGACACCCTCCATTATAAAGTGTGACTCCCCATTTTTTTCTTATTGCCTCTCAACTTTAAATCATGAGTATTGGAGAATAAAAGCAAAGAGAAAGCTTATCTGTATCAGCAATTTCTGTAAGTGCAATGGAAAGTAGCTGGTAAACTGTCCTGCAGTGTCTGGAATTGTGCCATCATTGACAGCCCCTGTCATCAATGGGAGAAAGTAAGCAGGGAACTTGGAAGAGATCAAGATAACTAGCTATTCAGGGGTACTGGACACAGGTGGTCTTGGGCCCCAGAGAGAAGCAGAATATCTGCGTTGCCCTGGAACATGGGGGGATGATGGTTCTTGCTGAGTGACTGAGAGGAGCAGCCCTGCAGCTGTGCCCAGCCTGCCCAGCCCTGCTGATTTGCATGTGCCCACAGCACAGCACATTGCCCTGAGGACTTATTAAGAGGTTGCTCACACCCTGTGCAGGAGTCAGTCCCAGTCAGGACACAGCATGGCCATGAGGGCCCCTTCTCAGCTCCTGGGGCTCCTGCTGCTCTGCCTCCCAGGTAAGGAGGGACAACACTTGGGATTTACTAATCACAGTGTGGTCAGTGCTGCCTGGTTACTCAGGAAAGTCCTCTTGTAACATAATGCTCATAAGAATATTTCTTTTTATGTTTCTAATGGCAGGCTTCAGATGTGACATCATGATGACCCAGTCTCCATCCTCCTTGCCTGTGTCTCGTGGAGACAGAGTCACCATCACCTGCAGGGCCAGTCAGGGTATTAGCAATAATCTACACTGGTATCAGCAGAAACCAGGCCAAGCTCCTAAGCTCCTCATCAAATATGCAAACACTTTGGAATCTGGGTTCCCCTCAAGGTTCAGTGGCAGTGGATCTGGGACAGATTTCACTCTCACCATCAGGAGCCTGGAGCCTGAGGATGTTGCTGATTATTACTGTCAACAAAGTAATAGCTCCCCTCCCACAGTGACACAGGCCATGACAAAAACCCCCCAGGGAGCAGAAATGTGAAGCTGGGCTGCCCCAGCTGCTCTTCCTGCTGCCTCCACCTGCTGAGGGCACTGCTCAGAGGCAGCCAGGCTCTGAGGTCACTGGGCGGGTTTGTGGAAGGATCCAGGGAGCTCCTTTGCACCCTGACTCTTTCCTTCAGCTTTGTGCATTGTGTGGAACTAGACAAGTGGACAGTGACGTCTGTCCAACACTGTGGCCTGGCACAGTGCAGGTCCTGCCTCCCACTCTCTGACCTCCAGCTGCTCCTCACCCCACCTCTGCTACAGACCTTCATGATTTTGCATCCAGTAGTTTCACCTGGGCTGAGTGACACTGGCTTGGCACTCACAGCATGAGGATGTTCAGACTGGCCTGTCACCCTGAGTGCTGTGCACACAAACCTCCAGGGGTTTCCACTATAGTATAGAGAGTTGTTTTCTTTTTCTTTTTCTTTTCAAATTGTTCTTCAATTTTTTTTTTTTTGAGGCAGTATATCTCTAAGTCGTTAGGTCCTTGCTAAGTTGTTGAACCTGGCCTTAAACTTGTGATCCTGCTACCTCAGCCTCCCAGTTGGTGAGGGTACAGGTGAGCAACACAGCCACCATGATAGCTATGTTCTTTTCATTGCTGAGTAATATGCTACTCTTTGGCTCTTCAACAGTATCTATTCATTTCCCTAGAGAAGGGTAGCCTTGTGTCCTCCAAGTTTTCAATGCTGAACACAGTTTTTATAAGTTTTAATTTGTAGATTTTTATTTGTTTTCAAATGTGTATGTTCACCATCTTTAGTTTCATAGCAGAATGCCTAGTGTTATCAGAATCTGTCACATTGTCTTGTATGTCCTGTCTCCATCTTGGAGACAGCTTTTGGACACTCCCCAGAACACTTAGCTGCTGGGAGTGGCTTGTGACTGCAGCCAGGACCAGCTCAGCAGCAGGGATGGGGCCTGGGTTCCCCTCCTGCTGCCTGTGGGGTGCTCCCTCCTGGACTTGGCCATACCTCAGGGGGGCTGTTTTCTCATGTGTTTTAATTTGCATTTCCCTGATGACCTGGGGTGTCACAATGATGTTTGGACAAATTTCCATAATGTGCAATGGTCAGATACAGCTATCAAATGCTTATCACTTGTCCATTCTTTATGGTACTTCCCCATCCTTTGTTCCAAGGTCCCTGCTCCTGTCATGTCTCTATTCTTTATAGAGCACCTCACAGTCACTTTGGGGTCAGCTATACACTCTCTTCATGTTTCTACAACTGAGGGCTCTTGAGTTTACCATGATTCCTGAGGAACATCTCCTGGATCTAGAGTTGTGGGTCCACAGTATTTTCCTTCAACACTTGAAAGTGTGTCCTTTCCTTTGTCCTCCCTGTTTCCAGGGGAGAAATTCTCTGTTCATTCCAGTTGCTTCTCCCATTAAGCTAAGGAGTCGCTTTTCCCTCCCAGCTTTTAAGGTCTCTGTCTCTGTCTTCAGAAGCTGGCAGTATAGCTGTGGGGTGGGCTGGCAGGCACCTCCTGGTCATCTGAGTCCTGTTCCCTGGCCCACTAGGCTGTCTCCAGGGTTCTCTAGCTGGGTGTGACCATGGCTGTCCCTCCTGCTGCCTCCTTCCTCTGTCTATGTTCACCTGCTCAGGTCCCCATTGGGCTCTTATTATGGTGAATGGAGTTTTCAGTTCTGGAACTTTCCTTTTTTGGTCCTTGCATAATTTCTGTTCCCTGACTGATGCTTTTGTTTGTTCTTCATTTATTTCAAACACATTTGCAATTGCTGGATCATGCACTTTTATTGTGGCTGATTTAAAATTCTGTTCAGATAATCCTTAGATACTTTTCAACTAGGTGTTTATGTGAACTGACTGAATTTTCTCATTTTAGGTGGTTATAAAGGTTTTTATGATGTTGAGTGTTTTCTTTGCAACCTGTACATTCCTGGAATTGGCTCACATCACAGGGCTGGAAATTATGAATGAGTAATCATTTCCTAGTTCATGCCAAGTATGTGACTTCACAGAGGGCAGGACCCACAAGATAAAAGCTTTCTTATCCTGCTAGGCCTAGGAACCTCCTTGGAAGGACTTAGTAGCCACAGATACCTGAAATCAAGGCAAATTCTTTTAATCTCCAATTTGTGTTGGTCAGTTTACATTGTTGTGCCAATATTTCAGCACAAGTCTAACATAGTACAGGAGAATTTATTTGGGCTCATGGGTTCAGAAGTCCAGTCATGGTCAGCTGACCCCATTGCTCTGGGCCCAGGTGGGCAGAACATCAGGGCAGAATGGTGTGGTGGGGACAGCTGCATCACCCATGGGGGTCAGGAAGTGTAAGAAGAGATGGGGAGGGGCTTCAGGGAAGATGCACCCTTCCAGAGCTCACCCCTAGTGTCATATGTCCTCCTGCCACACTCACCTGCCTACAGTCCCCACCCAGTTAGCTCACTCCCACTTGAGGGACTGACTAGGCTCAGCTCTTTTAGACCAATCATCTCCCCTCAGAATATCCCTACATTAACTCAGAAGGTTTAGGGGGAACCTTAAATCAAACTGTAACACAGTCTACAGAAGTACACAGTCACTTTAAAATAATTCTCTTCAATCTCACTTGCAGTAATTTTGTCTTAAACAGAGGCTCACTCAGGGCTCCAGGTCTGGAAACAAACAGCACACATGGCCCATGATTCTGAAGGAAGCCTGCTATGGGAGAAAACCAAGAAGTCCTCACTGCACCTGCTCCTCCGCCTCCACCCAAGGCTTCCATAGCACAGCTGCAGCCTCTGTGGAGACCTGTGTGAGCAGGTGAGGGCTTAAAATAGATGCCCTGCTCTACCTTCTTCTGCTGGTTGCTGATGTTACATCACCTTCATTTGAGAACATCCTCCTACATACTCGTCTCAACCACCAAGTGAGAAGCAGAAACCTATGATTACAGTTGAATTGTACAACCAGCACAATAAGTATCTTAGATGTTTCTTTGTCTCCTGTCTGAAGGACCCTGAGTTAATAAAAAATAGAATATACTTTAAGGTATTCTGTGTGTTCCCAGGAGAAATTTTACTGCTGAGATGAGGATCTGTTCCCAGCAGAGTTTACAGTCACGAGACTAGAAGTCACTTGCCCCTTAGCTCTCTAAGACATGTCTTTCTGCCATCAGGGTTATGAAATGAAGATGAAGCAAATCTCAAAGGAGACTCCTCTAGTCTGCAGTAGGTCCTCCCCATGTGGGTTGTGGTTGATGCTCTGTTAGGAGGACCAGTGGAAGTCACCATCATGCACTTAGTGTTCCTGGTCCTGCAGCACACAGTAGGTCCAGGTGTGAAGATTCCCATCTCAGTTGAACACAAGCTCTCTGAGTGCCTGGACACTGACGCTCCTGAGTGGGCAGGGAAGGCTCACATGACCACAGCACAGGTGTGTTCCAGGAGGAAGGCACCACAGCCCTCCAGGGGACACTGATTAAACTCCAGCTATCCAAAGGTGGCTGGTGACATTTGGCTCTGCTGCAGAGAAATCAGATATCCTGAGGTGGCTTTAGTACCAACAGCACAGTAGAGGTGGAATGGAGAGACATGGCACATGTCATGACCCCCATCCCTGCCTCCACTTGATCAAGGATCTATTGTGCAAATATGGTGGTAGTGAGGGGGACACAGAGAACAGGCAGTCTTCCAAGAAGAGAGAGAGGCTTCTAGCACACATGGTCACTTAACTCTCTTCTGTAGCACCTTCTCTGCCATTCCACAGAATCCATAAAGTCTGCACATGCAGAACCCCCTCCACGACTCCATCTGCTGCATCTCTCAGGATCACTGTGTCTGATTTCCTGTTTTCTCCTCCAGGCCCTCAGCCAAGAAGCTGTCCAGGAGTCCAGGTACAGATCTTTGACCAGGGCACCCCCTGTCCATATACCATATGCTCTTCCTAAACATCTACTAGCTTGATGTAATATACAAGATGCACCATTGTCATGAGCTATTCTTGGGTTCTGTGTTGGTCACTGTGCATGGAAGCCTGGTGGATAGGAACATCTGGTATCTGGGAATAACCAGTGGACATTTTCTCATGTCAATTGCTCAGAGATATTGTGAATTTCTATCACATTTTGCCATGGCCCACACAGCACCTGAGACGGATGTGACCTGCCAAGGTGCCAGACAACCTACTAAGTGCAAGACAACAGGAAGCAAGGCTCCCCCTTGAGACATTACCCCTGCCTTTGATGCACCCCCTTAATTAAACCACCAGAGCCATCTTTTCTTTGTCTAATTCCAGCTCTTGTGTGGACTGGGTGCATCAGGGGCTCTGTTTTTGTATATATATTTCTGACTATTTGTCCTTTGTTCTTCAAAAATTATTTTACAGTTTAAGTTTTCAGGTGACTTACACCCTCCTCAGCATGAAAAGGAACCCCTCAATGAGACACTTGCTGTCACCCCTGAGGAGCCATTATTCTGACTACATTCTGGGAACAGTCATCTAACCTGTGCCATTTTTAATGCTAATCCATTCAAGTCAAAGTCTAGATTCACCCCCCCACACACCCACTTGACATTAACTGTGAGACAATCCCTGTGATTCCTGGAGTGAGCTCATGCAGAGGTGACAGGGAAATACAGAAAATTGGTAGTGTACATCAGGATAATGTCCATGAATTATAACTTGACATAAATCTGCTGATCGCTGACAGTATTATCTGCATCTTAACATAAAGTAATCTATCTACTTGTTCACTCTTCCAACAATGATTTTTGACATAAAAATATCAGCATCAAAAATACAGATATAGATCTCAGTTAAGGGCATTTCATTAATGACTTTCACTTATCACTATATATGAAAATCATTTTTGAACAATATTCAGTATAGCACAGATTTAATCCCAAATAGAACAAAACACATTATTGATGATGATATTTCTACAGTGTGCCTCCTGCCAGACACACTCATAAATTATCTCCACAAAAAAAAAAATTTATATTGGAGATCATCATATGTTATACTCTGGAATTGTGTGGCATGATTGTTGATACCAAATGTTAGACAGCCTTAGTGAGAGGGGACCTTCTGTTGGGCACTCAGGGCTGCCTGTGTGTGAGCTCTATGTGCTGGATGTGAAGATGCTGTTTTCAATGTCTGCTCCACTTACTCTAGGAACATGATCAGACCTTTCCCTCTCCTTCTAGGGTCAGAGCTCAGGAGACACAGTTGTAACTAGCTACCTGGTCCTGATGTCAGATTTCTTCATGAGTCTGTACTCAGCCCCCAACCTCCTTCCCAGGATGGACCTTCCCATCAAGTACCACCTTCTGGGGTCTCTCTATTCTCCTTTGTGGGGAACAATAAACCTTAGCTGAAATTTTACATACAAGCTGTCTTTGTATCATTTCAAAAGATCCTTGTTGCTCTTGTAAGTTTCCTTTTCATTGCCCAATTGATCTTTTTCAACTGTAAAATTTGTACCTGAAGTTTAGCGGAGTTTGCCATATTTTTATGTAATAGAAAAGCCATGGCATACTTTTGTGCTTGAGGGTTTTCAGCTGAATGGCAGAGTTTGCAGGAATAAGTAACAGCCCTCACACAGGACAGGTGTACCTTAGCCAGTGTGTGACACAGGCACTGTTGTCCTCATGGTCATGGGGACCAAGGCATGCAGGAAAGAGTGACTGCAGAAGGGAAAGTGAGCAGAATCATTTAAATTGCTGTTGAATTCTGTGTGGAGTCTGCTATGATGTGTGGTGTGTGGTGTGTGGGGCTGTTCCTCTGTGTGGATCAGGGAAGGCCCAGAGGCATCCGGAGATGCATCTGAGAGGGGAGGAAGGAGCCCCATGACCATGGGGGACAGCAACAGCAAGACCAGGAGGGGTACTTGGGAAAAGCAGGGACCTCAAGAACTCAAAAGAACATTGTTTATATATATATATATATATATATATATATATATATATATATATACACACACACACACACACACACACACACACACACACACACACACACACACATATTTACTTCTGTAGTGTGCAAAATCAACCAAGGCCTACAGCAATCAATAACCTTTTCAAAATATTTCAAATAAAAATCACTAGTTAATTGACCACAACCTACATCTTGGATGAGCTGACTTTCAACAGTGCTGTGAAGACATAACTATGCATTATTTTCTTTACTTTCCATCCTCTTCTTCCCCCTCACATGGGACTTTCTCATCTGTCTCCAGGGCTGGGAAACCATTTTCTCTTTCAACTTGACCTCCACAGTGTCTGCTGTCCCAAGAGAGTTCCTGTGTAGATGACCTTGGACACCTTCCCTTCCCCCTCCTGTTTCCATGTCCTCTGTCCCTGTGTTAGTGGCAGGGATGAGTCACAGCTGTGATGTGCTGAACCTCTCTGGTCACAGCAGACTCCAGACCTCAGCCAGGGACCAAGCTCCTGACACATCCTCCCCTGCAGAGCCCCAGGTCACCTTCCTCCTGGCCCACCTCCAAGTGGGTTTGTTCTTGATACAAAAATAATGTGAGAAAACATGATTAAAAAAGAAAAAATCAAAGCTGTTCTCACCTGGGCAGAGGACACCCCAGTCACACATGACCATGGAGCCCCAGGATTCCTATAGGGAAGATGGGTGTCTGAGGAGGGGTCCTCAGAGGGCCCGAGAAAGTCCTTCCCTTGCTCTCCACCTGCAGAGGCTGTGGGGAGAGGCCCAGTGTCTGATGGCACCTGGAGCTGCAGCACCTCTGGGACCTACCCTGCTACTTCCCTGGGCCCTGGGTGACCCCACCCAATGGCTGAGTGCTGGCCTGGGCCTGAGAGCCTCTGGGAGCTGCTAAGGGTCTTATAGAGGCTCCTGAAGGAATTGGGTGGGAAGCATTAGGCATGTTGGCAGTTCCACACCAGGAGCCCCCACAGCCTCCACTCCTATGCCTGCACCACACAGGGATCCTCAGGCCACATCTCTTTGACAAAACCATATCTCATGTGGGTCTCAAGGCCAAGATGTCAACAGTCCTGAGACCAGAATGGTTTATTAATTCCTAATGAACTGTTAACCCTTTGTCGTTAAATAATAGGACACTTTCTTGGGGAGAGTGGTCACTTGAATTTCCTATAGAATCTCTCCTAGTGATGGAGGAAGTGGAAGCTTTATGAATTGGGGAAATAAGATCCTTGAGCAAGGCTCTGGGATCCCAAACTACAAATCCTGCCTGTTGATGCTCCACATACCTTCACTAGAGAGCAAACAGTACAAAATAAACAATCCCAGGAACCTGATCTAAAAATCCAGGGACAGAAGCAGTGATCCTGTCCCATGGGGGGCACTAAGACTTGGGAGCTCTGCCCTGCACTCAGGCCCACAGGGCTGCTGGGGCTCTGCACATCAGCTGTGTCTCCCCAGATGCAAGTTCAGAAACTTTTTACATTTTACTTTGTGATCTGGAATCACCATAATCAGACAAAGAGACCATTTCCTCAGGGATTCATGGAGTGGAGTTAGAATACAGGTCAGCAAGTGGACCAGGCTGGTGGGAGGACAAGGGTCCCTGCTCTGAAGGTGCCCCAGGTGGGGAGTGAGGATGATTTTCCCTTGTGAATTTAAGAAAAGTGACAGAACACATTAAAAACCCTTTCAGTGATTGTGACAAGACCCTGGATGTATCCACAGAGAAGACAGAAATGGGAGGGGAGGGTTGCAATTCCACTTGTGTCTCCAGGATGTGCCTGTAGTCCTCAGCTAGGAGCAGGTCACTGTTCAGTGCACAGGGGACCAGGGTGGCCTGAGCTCCATCTTCACTAGAGCAATAAAAGAAACAAAAACTCGCTTCTAAAATCACTCTAAGTTAGGAAAGATCTGTGTAGGCTTTGCCTGCTCTTCTCAGGACTGGAGGAACCGCCACATGTCTAAGTGTATCTTGGGGACACTGAGGCAGGAAGGGCACAATCACTGAGTTTCATCCCACCCTGGCCTCCTGGTCCAGCAAGGCCAATGAGTACAGAAACCTGAACGACACCACAGAGTTTACCAA